CAAACTTTACCTCTTTATAATATTAGTATAAATATATACTGAATTGCATTACATATTTTATTACTTGTGTGTTGCCACCATGACTGTGGAAACTTAATACCTATGTTAGCTTAATAACCGGAAATTATTGAAAATTACTGGTAATTAAGTTCATAATTTTATAAATTACTTACTGCTGCTAATAATATATTCATTTTATACTTCATTTACATTTTAAAATGAGACTTAAGATACCAAGGAAGTTTTAAAAAAAGTTTTTATTCAGTGCCCCGGGTAGCGATATAAACCAACTAAAATTATACGGGTTTGGTTTGCCAATGATAAATTTGAGGCCAAAAAAGCTTTGAAGCTTTAAAGAAGTACGTGGAATTATAGATGAAAAAATGTAAATGTTCTTGAATTATTTTTATAGAAAGGTTTTGAAGCCATACCTATAAAGAGGCTCGGAGTAGATGAAAATGGTTCATGTAATCTGAATAAATTAAAAGTTGTTTGTTGTGACCGATTTATCATCACCCACTGGAGCTAAGGTTGAAATTTTGACATACTGCTTTTATAATGACATGGATTGTACAGATTTTATTAAAATTCGACCCCTAATAGGGGTGGAAAAGTTAAGAAATATTAGTCTTGTGTGTCAAATTAAAAAAAAGGATTTGGGTGCAGTCGGGACAGACCGTTAGCCCATTTTTTGTAGTGCTGTTTGTGTTACCAATGATTTGATACGTTTTTAGTTACCTATCACTTATTAAGTTATTTTTACATGTGATTGACCAAGAAATTGTTTAACACTACTCTTTATATATTTAATTTTTATACTCTGTTTAATGGAAATCGTTTAAACGAATTGATAATAAAATTAAAAATTCGCAAGAGAAACCCGCTTAAAAGTTGGTTCGTGTCTCAGAACTTTGAATATTTAATAAAATATTAATATTAAATATTTTGGTTTACATCTTTTAGTATATGTCTTTATTAAAATTAATAATGTAAAATATTCATATTATTGAAAGTAACTTCAATCAACACTAGGACATTGTTGACAACGGTCTATAATTACGATCACAGCGAAGCCAAGGGCTGAATAATAACAACTGCCAATCAATAGAATGCAATTATCTCGTTTAGTAACAGTAATGAACACGTCGGTGTCCATTCAATAGTTTAATTTTATTTTAAAAGCATCCTTCACTGGATATAGCAATTACTCGGAGAATTCAAAAAGCGCATATTAATTGAGAGCTCGTTCTTACTTTAATACATATTAAAAATAAGTGTTTCATGTCTTTATATTTGTTTACACTTTTATTTTATGCAGATTTTTTGCATAATTTAGTTGGGATATTAGTCATTGGCCATAAAGGTTGTAAGGAAGGACATTGTTGATTATGACAGCTATATGCAGTAATTCTGGCTATTGCCATTCATTAAATGAACCTGTACTTATGCAAAAGTCAAGTGTAATTTGCATACAGGATAAATATTTGTGTCCGTGAGAAGGATCTTCCTTGTTGATCGGTGTGTGTAGACTAAACAAAGTTAGAATACCTACTTATTTTTACTAAAAAAACGAGATTTTGGCCAACTTTTATACATATTTGACGACAGCGTGCAGTGACCCTACTTGCTGTGCCAGCGGTCGCGGGTTCGAGTCCCGCTGGGGGCATTCATTGTGTGATGAGCACGAATGTTTGTACTCCAGTCACGGGTGTTTATATTTATAATATGTATGTGTTTAAAGTTTATATATGTGTAGTGTATCAACTATCTGGTATCCATAGCACAAGTCTCGTATCTTACCATGGAACTAGATAGATACTATAGACTAGATAGATAGATAGATACTATATTTATATATTTCTTATCAAACCAATCAAATAAGTCCATACTATCAGTAGCAATTAAATGTTTCACTATCCTTTACCTGACTTGATCACCAGATTAACTCGATGGTATCTTTTTGTCATTTATACTAATATTATAAAGAGGTAAAGTTTATGAGTTCGTGACGTTGTAGGGGGGTAATCTCTGGATTTACTGAACCGATTTAGATGAAATTTGGTTAGAAGATCGTTTAAGAACCTGGTAAGGACATAGGATACTTTTTATCCCGGAAATCACTCCTTAAAGGGGTGAAAATGGGGATGAAATTTTGTATGGGGAATCAAGCTAGGGACGAACCCGAGCGAATGAGTCGCAAGTAATATAATAACTTGATATCATCGAGATAATCGAATAATCTTAGAAGTAGCTTCGAGTACATAAGTACAAGTGAAACTAATAAACAAAAGTGTTTTAAAAATAATTATCTAAGCACGTATATAAAAAGATATTTATTTCACCTAATTGAATGTCATAGAGTTCTGAGCACGTTTTTTGATATTGATTGCAAGAGCGTTGGAGGCCACTTACATTCTTGATTATATGTTCCATGACCAGGTCTTACTGATTTAAATTAAAATGTACATATATTATGAAATCTTTATGCTAACGATTAATTAACGAGCCCTTTGTACAATCATTAATAAGGGCCATTCTATGTCTTCAGTTTTCAGGCTTATCTTATGTTAACCAGACTGCAAAAACGTTTGATGATAATAATCCTGTAAATTGTATAACTTATTTATAATATAATATTTAGTATAGAATTTCAAACGGCGCAACCTCAATCGTCCGTAGCTAGTGGAAGATGGATAATTATGTTCTAAGCCAATTTGCCAACTTTCTAGACAAACGAAATTTCATTACATCAAATGTCTCTTTAAATTTCAATACCTAGTTATGACTTGACGCAATCAAAACAAAAATATTCTACTAAAACAAGTAAATTTAGTAAGTGAATTTAGAATCTTTTGATTATTTGATTTAATTTGAAAAGTATGATGGAAAACAAATAAACAAAATTTAAATCTTTTATTTGTAGGTATTATTAGGTTCTTTTGCCGGGTGTAAAATATCGACTGTCGGAGAATCTGTTTCATATACAAAGTGTTTTAATAGAGGATGCCAAATATACACAAATTATATATTACGAACCTTTAGACTTGTAGGTAATGATAATTATATATTATAATATAAACGTTATATTATAATATATAATTATCATTACCTACAACTAGCCAGCATTAGGCTATAAAATTAACGCCTATAAAAAAAAAGATCTTATCCAATTAATTGTACAGTCGTAAAAACTAAAAAGATGTAAAAAATACTTAAATAACTATTATTATTTATTAATAAACCTGTTATATGTATAAGCCATGTCCTTCGAGATCTTTACTTTCATTAAATCTTTTTCCAAAACAGAATCATTCATTATAAAAGGATTACCTAGTTATATACTAAATTTAATGAGTGCGACCAACTCGACAGCAGATGCTGGAGTGTTAGATGCGCCGCGAGCTAGTCTGTGTCAGAAAGCGATAACGAGCCTCTCAGCCTCGCGACATCGCGCTAATCGCATTGATTTATCCGATGCACGCCGTGCATACTTCTAAATCAACGATTGTTGCAATATGTATAGTGCAGTCCAAAAGTTATGTATATTCTGTGGCGTATTGATATTGACAAATAATTTTGAATTAATTGACGAAATCGCCTGTGTTTATCTGAATATATAATGAAATTCTAATTGAGTCAAATCTGTACATTACATATTTCTGGAAGACTTGTTGAAATAGTCATTATTGTTGACACAGAGGCCAAATCCATAGTTTTTAGAATTTTGTCTGTCTATCTGGGAACGCATCACGAGAAAACCACTGGACAAATTTTGATGAAATTTGTTAAGATGATAGCTGGTTATCCGGGTCAACATATAGGATACTTTTTATTGCGGAGAAATATCTCATATCTAAGAAATCTATACTAAACGTTAAAACGCACCAAGAGACGAACCCGGGCGAAGCGAGGGTGAATAGCTAGTTAGCGATATAATTTAAACTAAGTGGGCTTTACATTTTTCCTTTGTCATAGACACATATCTGTTACAGATTGAAATGCGTACTTGTCCTATATTGGACTCTTTAATTTATATTGAACTCCTTAATTCAATCTTTAAAGATTAGATAGAATAAAAATCTCATAAGAGACAGAGAAAAGCCCTGTCAAAAAGTTTCTACTTTTGAGCAACCAGCGAGTTGTTATATATTTGCCAGTAGGTACGTTTAAAATAGGAAGATCCAATTTGAAGAAAAATGCGCGCGTGCGGGCCGAAAGGCCGACACTTGAGTGTATCGTTAGAGTGGTAGCTATATATGAGGTGTCGGAGAGCGCGATAACGAGCCTCTCAGCCTCGCGACATTGGTTACTGCATGAATCCATCCCGATACATAATACAGGTTTCATAACACATTTTTCATTAGTTTTAAAACCTTCAAAAATATTTTAAGTTTGTTTTAACAATTATTATTGATAATATGATGTCTATATAATATATTCTGTATAACATTATGTCTGCGTATAATATTCTGATTGAACTCACCTACATAATTTTACGCAATTTTAAATAAAAAAAAAAATAACCAAAAATTAATATTGCATTATGAAAATATGACTCAGCTGTTGACTCGCGCTTCAAAGGAGCTAATCGGATGCGTCTATACCGATTTATAAATGAAGTTCCTTTTGAATGAAACTTTATTAAGCCCCACTAAATCACTATCGCACAAAAACTTACAAATCGAAGGCGCGACGCCGCGCCGTCCAAATACAGGAGTCATTGATTAATTGGTATCACTCAGAGGGTGGGGGCAACGAAATAATATATACAGGGTATGAGTAGCAACGAATAAATGATATCGCTACTAGGTTTTATTGTAATAGGGCATTGTCAAAATAATTAATTTATGACAATATATTATAGATTTTGAATTTTATAATGAAATTAAATTTTGAAATTTTTTTTAGAATGAAGTGACAAAAGAAACAATTTTTTCTTTACCATTTTTATACAAAGGAAATACTGATTCATAATTAACATTTTCTATATCAATACAAATATGTCATTTGTATATAAAATATTGGAAAAGTTACAACATTTCCAGTACTGTGACACACCTTTAGTAGCGCGCGGGGCGTCGCGGGAGGGTAGTGGGAGTGTCGGCTCGGTCAAAGGGCCCTTTGATGTTTGCCGCCGGCTTAATGCACCGCCCGCGGGCCCCGCTCCGCTCATCATTAGCAATTTCCCCGTAATTTGTTATCTTTACCGCTATTTATTTGTACAATTTCACGCTCGGATTGGCGTTTCGCACCTCGGTGTGTGCAAGGCGAGTCATTATGGTCTCCTTGGTTTTTTATCAACGTGGTGGATTTCTTTTAACGGTTACATGAAAAATGAACAGCGAGAATACTGAAAAACTTGTAAAATTTGATTTTAAATGGTGAAGATGATTTTATTAATTGATCTAGGATATTTGACCTTAACCTTCTTGTTTTAACTTTCGAAAAAAAAATCTTGCCGATAAAAATAAGCTCAATATTGTGTTATAAGTACATATTATAGAATGCTATAATTATAATAATTGGTATAGTCTGCTTTCCGCATTAGTTCTAAATGACTAATGGCTTATAGAAATAACGGAGAAACTATATCATATAAACCTTATTGCATTACAGTAAATCTACTAATGGGAGGGTTAAGTATTATAAATAATTATACATATAATCTAAATATAGCTACGTGATTTTAGCATAAATTAATAAAATGTTCGTAAGGTCGGGTTATCCAAACGTATTTCCCTTTCCGTGTTTAATTCGAGACTCCGGTTGTGTGAAATCAACACGAATTTGTAGTACAGGAGGTACATGCCCTCCAAAACCGTAGTGACTTTGCTTTAAGTGAACACTTTCACAATAGAGGAATATGCGTGTGATTTAATGAAAGGTGAAATATTTTTTTTATACTCTTTATTCCTTTTCTATTAAGACTATATCAATATTTTTGATTAAGAAAACAATTATTAAAAAGTGCAAATATAGGTTTAAAAATTCAAAATAGTTGAATCGCACGCCATTGGTCAGACCGAGTATGACGTCAAAGTATTATCATAAGTCATAACTTGTTTTGTTTTTACAAAATCGTGCACTATCTACCTGATTTGAATTTTGAAGACAGTCTGTTTTTGTTTTAGTACAAAGAAGTGCTTGCTGGTTTTCACTACAAGTCTTTAGTGTACCTATTCGATGAGGCTCTGGAATGGACTACAAAAAGTGAAATACGTAGATATCCTTAGCTTAATTAACCACTTGAAACTGAATATTAGAACTCATAGGCAATATTTTTAGGCAATTTATTACAAAATCATAGATGTGTCAATTAAATTTATAAATATCATTAATAACAGCGATATGTTCAATAGGTCATACAATGTGGCATGTCATGTTCGCTCACATTAACTGCGAATGTAGCGAAATCAATCAGGGCCGCGGAAGGCGTGAGAGCGGCGGCAGATCAAAGACTCGCCGCCGGTGGATAGGGTTGACTGTATTTCGCAGCTCATTTGTTTTATTTAAGTGTTGTAATTATCGCGTTTTTAAATGCATTTACCTAGTACCTACAGATACAAAATATCTGCAAAATGTAAAAACATATGGAATTACTACCGATAGATAACATAATTTATTTTACAGTCTAACTAAATAATTGTGGGTACAAAATTACGTGAATAATTATGGACATAAATAATATATGTAAACTTAAGTAAAATACTTTATTTATTAGGTAACGATAAGATAGTCATATAAACTCAATCAGGTTAGGCGTTAAGCGTTGACATTCACAGCTGTTTTTCATACAGAGTATATAATTTAGACTTTTATTTGTATAACCAGCCCTGTGCGCGGTGATCTCGACACACCGCCGCGTCTCACTAGTCACTATATCTAAGATCTTGTCTGCTTTGTCGCCGGCACGATGTTTATGAGCTAAATGCTACATAAGTATAATATTTGTTATACAATATTATAACTTTTTATTTGTATCACATGTTTTGGTCAGCAGCGGGTACGTGTTAAGTATATCATTATTGCATTTAATGAATTCGTCCACTTAACAAAGTTTTTGACACGAAAAGCATCTTGATTTCTCCTGAAACTGCTTGCATTTATTTTGTACATCAATTATTTTATTAATGTAACAAATGTCAAAATAACTTTAATTAAAACTCCTTAGCTTATATCCATCAAAATTTTATAATATTGTGGCACTATTAATATGAATAAAATATAGGCAAAACGATTTTTTAGACTTTTCATCTTTCAAACACATTTCTTTGTTTATTACAATACAAGAGACAATATGAATAAAATCGTTATATAGTCACCGAGGCATCAAATAAATACCTGCGCGTTGAAAATGAACAAACAAAAGTGGCAAAAACGACTTTATCAAGCGCGGATGACGTCAGCGCCCAAAGCGCTTTGAGGTTTCTGTCAAAGGCTGCCTCACGGCACACGTTAGATCATAACGCTAACTCCACACATTGGGCCAACGAAATTCAAACGAATTGACGAATAAACACCAATACGAGTAAATATGAATCTATTATGGACGTCTCTTCATGTTGGCTGTATACGAGCAGTTTGGACCAACGTGTAGAGACGGCGTAACGATTGTGTTTACACGCAGGCACCACACGCGATTTATGATGTTTGAGTTGGGACGACACCAAGGAACTTCGCACTTAGACCCCCTTTACGGGTTGTAATGCCAGATCTGATATTGCTGTGCTAGTTTGTTTATTTGCTTTGTGGGGAAGAAACGAGAGATTGGTTCTACGTACTTGTATAGTAATTATTATTTTACACACTTTGTTTGGTACTTATGTAAAACAAATTGAATATTTTAAAATATCTATTAGTTTTATCTTTTATTTTAAAATATTTATTAGTTTTTATAATATCTATAATCTATATAATAACATGTAAATAAATAAATATGTTGGGACATTAATACACAGCACTATCTAATTCCTTGGTAAGCTAAGAGGCCTGTGTTATGGATACCAGATAGTTGATAAAATGCACATATATAACTTTAAATACAAACATATTAAAAACATAAACACCCATGACTGGAGTACAAACATTCGTGCTCATCACACAAATAAATGCCTCTAACGGAACTCGAACCCGCGACTGCTGGCACAACAAGTAGGGTCACTACGAGTACAAACTGCGCCAAACGTGCCGTCCATATAATTAATATGACGATTAATATAATTAATATGTACTTATAATAGAGATGAATATGTATTTCAAAATTACCAAAACAGAAATTGATATCGTAATTAATAATTTTAATTCATTTGGAAAATTTTATCTAAATTGTAAATCACTATATTTGAATGCTTTTGCTTTCAAATATCTTTTGTTGTTAATTGTTATACTATGTATGTTAAAGTATATTTTAATCCGATACTTATTACCTAAAAATTTTCTAATAAAATGATATTTATTATATAAGTCATCATTTTTTTAGTTAAGCAACTTAGCCTTCTTATATTTAATAGACAAATGTCGCAATGACAAAAAGAAAAAAAATTGCGCATGCATAAATAGGAAATTTTAAGATTTAAAAACCATAAACAAAGATTAACCTTTAATATTTATCAAATTTATAATCTATTTTGTAAGAAATATATTACTTGTATTAATTGTGTAAGTAAGAAACGTGTCATAGTGTATGACGACAGAAGGCAGGCACAGGCAGTAGGCAGTGAAACTCGCCACAATATTTATCGGCGGCTCGGTATCAGCGCCACAAAGCGACTCCGGAAGCCCACCTCGCCGAGCGAACACATGTTATTGTAAGCATAAGAGAAAGCGGAACAGGAAGCTTACTTCTATATTGATCCCATAGGCTTATATGCTCGTTGCACATTTTCTTGTACTGTCCTTTAAAAAATAAAATCAAAGATATTTGTTAATACATAACTTTAATTCTTTTGTAATTATTATTTTGTTTCCGCTAGCGCTTATGCTTTGCAAAGTCCTCAACCCATTGTCGACTACCTCTATCACTGGATTCCTTTTTACACAGAGCCTTTGACGCCGGTCTTTGTTTGCTACAAGATCAGAATGAGAGCCGGTAGTCGGCCTAACGCGTGCCTCCGTTTGTGGCGTCTGCAATCGATTATTGTTATAGATTCTTATGTCGTTGCAGTGTCTCTTGAGAGCGTTGATTGAAATGTCAGGCCGTGGATTGTGTTATTCTACGACAGAATTTCATTTCGTGCATCTGCTTTATATCTGAAAATCTAAATATCTACTGCCGACAAAAACTTTTTTTCCCCTTTGTTATTACTTCACTTATTTTTTCACCTTTTCGAAACAGAGAAAACCTAGGGATACAGATTAAAAGACTGTGCGTTTGTGATAGTTCTACTAGAATGGGGCTAATGTCTGTATAATAACTATATAAGTGCATAGTGAATACGTAAGTACATATATTCACCCAATACATATATTTAACTTGTGATGCCCAGCGTTTCCCTTTTTGCCGATAATACGTTCGATAGACGTATATAGTTAATGTAAGATCCGCTTAGAATTCAAATTATCAGTTTATTAAAGACTAGCACATTACCCTCTCTTTCCTCGGGTCCTAGGTACGTTTTTAAATAGATAAAAAAAACTTAAAAAAAAAACACTAAAAAGTAAGTAGTTATTTTTTACTTTTTAGTGTTTTTTTATTTGAAGTCAGTTTTTTTAAGTTTTCATTTTTCCCTTTTTAGTGTAGAGATAGAAGCAAAGTAAGAACATTAAGCCGTTTTAGTTAGTTTGACGCCAATTTATAATACATATATTAAGACTGTATATAAACTAAAATTAGCTTGTATTAGTAACACTAAAAATTCTGAGTCTAAAATTCAATTCTAATCCATACGGCTTGTCAAATCAAACAATATAAGCCCAAACTCGAAAGTATCTACTATTAGCCTTTGAAGAGTTTCACCTATCCACCTTCTGGCCTTACCATCAGATCAGGTCGACGATACTGAACCACTGCACTACCAACTGAAATAGAAACACTTGCAAAGTTTCAAATCAATATGACAATTAGAAGTAGGTACTGCGCCGGCCCCAAGTGATTGGGAAATGGGCAAGGAGAAGAAAAATTAGAAGTAGGTAAAATTCTTAATATATCAATAAATAGTAAATATCATCAGTCGTCTAGTAGTACTTTTTGCGCGAAAAGTACACACATATACAGACAAGCACACAAAATTTTCTACAAATATTGTTTTGGGTTCTATATAGTGTACCTTGTCAATATGTGCGCAGTACGTAAGTTTTTGTTTCTAAAAAATATTTTCTGTACAGTTACTATTTTATTATAGGTATGTATAGATGCTATAATTTCATTTTGTTATTCGACTAAAATAAACACAACTTTAGTCACAATTCTCGTTGACAATGCAATTTTAGTTAATTCTATCGCAACCCACGCGGCGCGGGCGCGGCGCGAGCTTTCCGACGGACGAATATTAAACTAATTATGAACAAACCGCCGGCCACGCAAATTAACCGTTGAACTCCATTAGCGCTGTCGACCAACTCACTTCCATCATTGATGCCAGACCAGGTAGATACATTAAACTGTGGTTTACGGTGTTAGAGTAATCGTTAGTTGCTGCACGATCGTCCACGGTAACTCTCTCTTTCCTGTATAGTCCAAACAAAGTTAAGAGTTAAGACCGTAGCAGTACTGTTGGGCCAAGTGCTTTTAAAACTTGCTCCATTTCAAAACAATGTTATTGAAGATAGCACTCCATTTAGTGCTCCCAGTCGTAAGTATTGGCATGGTATTATAATAATACCAGCTAAAAAGGGCGAAATTAATAAAGGAGCAATGAAGCTTTTGTCTGTGCTTCACATTCAATTCTTTGTATTACGAGGATTCCGCCGCCTTTCTGATATCACCAATTTTCAACATTACAGGGCTGCCAAATTAACTGATATGTGTAATTTATATTTAAAGTATCGTAATATATCGTATGAAACTTAATTACTTAAGGGTCACTTACACCGAAATCTAATTTTGACTTAGATCTTTATCAAACGTCATATTTGACTGTTTGACTGTTGTCGTTTGCGAAAACATATTTCAGACATTCAAGTACTTAACCATAAAAATACACATGCGAGATCATCGTGACAACTTGTAGGTAGTTTATATGCCCTATGTTCAAAACAAAGTCAGCTTACTTTTATTTCATCACTAGCAATGCCCGCGGCTCCGCCCGCGTTCAAATGACCAAAAACCAAATTTTTAGGTTTTACATATTAGAATACTCTTCAATTGCAATTATTGTATTTTTTCTCAAAAATGAAATATTTTCCCGTGTTAAAAAGTACCCGGATAACCAGCTATCACCATACCAAATTTCATCAAAATCCCTCCAGTGGTTTTTCTGTGATGCGGTAACAGACAGACAGACAAATTCTAAAAACTATAGTTCCGGCTTCTGTATCGATAATAATGTTTATTTCAAAAATATTTTCCAAAAAATATTTAATGTACAGATTGTTGGCTGTAGGCTTAGTTACAATTTTATTATATGTATAGGTTTAATTAATATGTAGCAATTGCGAGCAAATTATATTACAGTTAACTTCATGTGCTTATAATGTTGACATTGATATAATATTACATATGTATGTATACATTAAATTAAACGTTCATATTAAAGATTATTGAACAATAAATAATTATCAATACTACTATTGAATACATTTTCTGCGTCCAGTACCTACAACACTAGAAATCCATACTAATGTTATAAATGTAAAAGTAACTCTGTCTGTGTTTCTGTTTAAACCGCTAAACAAAAGATGAGATTTAGCGATGACACAGATTGCATCATGGAGACGGGCATATACTACCAAATGTCAATGTAAGCTCCCGCAAAACTTGTGAGCGAAGCCGCGGGCAATAACTAGATTTTAACTTTATAACAAAAGAAAATATTATGGCGCCGTAAATTTTAATTGATCCTTATATAGCGTGTAACTTAAAGACAAGCGATAATGTATTCATTTAAACATCACAACCCTGAACCAGTTGTGTTCGGCTCGTCTCAAAGGAGAATTTATTATTTAAAGTGAAAGTTATTGAGTTTCGCTAAGGTTAAGTGAGCCTTTTGACTTGCTTTGCCTGTCAAGAGAAGGGTGTGAGGAAGCGGTGTCGGCTTCCACTTTATATGACTTTCAGCATCTACAAATTAGCTCATGTTCAGTTGTTGAAAGGAATATCTAAATAGCCTTTTCAAGCTATATTATATATTTATTATTCATGGTACGATTACTTTATGTTATGTCGAGATAAAAAATAAAACAATTCAGAAATTCTCGTAGTAATATACGAGTGAGTAATATCTGTTTTTTCACACGAGCAAAGAGATTCATATACCGCCTCCTATAGCGCATTAGGCGGTACCCAGCCAGGCAAATGGTGACGAGACTGTTTTGAGATTTGATATTTATTGCAATAAATGTGTATAGATGTGACAATTTATATATTCATCTACATCTACACTGCTATGTGGGTGTGGATGAGTCGCTAGTCATATTTTAAAGAGACAAAGTTTGTTTGTTTGTGTTTGTATGAACGAGCTACTGTAAGAACTACTAATCTTATTTTAAAAATTATTTTTGCATTAGATAGCCTGTTCATTGAAAAATGCTTACTCTATACTAAAAGTTAAAAGGTATCTAGAGACAAACCCGAGCGAACGAGGGTGAGTTACTAGTCTTAATATAAAAGAAAACTTAGTATTTATTTTAACTAAACTACAAACATTGGCTTAATCTTTGCTATTTATAAATTGGCGACCATAATCACCTTATTTACCTAATAAGTAGATACTATTACTCTATGTGATAAATATGTACTTGTTTACTTATCTTACTAGCTTTGATAAAGTTAAACATTAACAAAAATCGCAAAGTTTACTCATAAACTCAAATAGACGCAGGTAGCGTCTATTGGATTTCTGCATTTCAAACTAAAATAGGTATTCCTGAGCAAAGATTGCGAAGGCATTAAGAGGACATCATGAAAGTCTAAGTAAATCGTATGAATGGATCCTCTAAAATGGTCTAATGTAGGTAACAATGCAATTTAGCGGCATCCACCACCCGCCTCGTGCATTATGTAGATTGCTGGCATTCTGGCGCGGGCGCCGCGCCGTCTGCCGCAAACCGAATTTATCGCATTGACTATTCAATCCGCGAGAAACATCTGCCTGCCGATGCTGCTGAATAGAAAAATGTACTGCCTCTATAGTGACGGAACTGAAAATTTCTTTAAGAATTATATTATTTAGTTTAGTATATGTAAAAATCTTTCTATTGCACATAATATTTTTTTTTATTATATTATCAAATTTTGTTATTAAGTTATTGGAAGTTTGATTTAAAATTGGTTACAAAAATTTATATTAATTCCTCTTGTTTTTGTATTGCGCTTTGAAATATTCTTAGAGTAATATTTAAAAGCTCTTATTATGTACTTTTTCAAATCACTTTTTTATTTATACAATATACGTAAATACACATTTAAACAAAATCTATATTTAACCCTAAAAAAATGAAATCTCTCGAAGATTCTGATAGATATTTAGATCGTTGTGTTCTAGCTTTAGCTATTATAGGTAAGATTTAAGGGGATTCGTAGGCTCGTATGTATAAAATTACTCTTATATAGAAAAAATACATTAAATTCATTCATCCACTCCACCTTCATGTTTTCAGTAGCGTATCTGTATTTTTCTAGTGAGCCACGTAGCGGCGGATCGAAGTGAATTTACTTAACGTCGCGAAGTGCAGTTCCCGCCCAAATTACTATTTCAATCTGAACCGCGACTCCGCTCCGAGCTCGGGACAATCAAATGTCGCGCTTATGGAAGCTTTATTACTATTTGAGAAAGAGAAAATCCTAAAGAAATCGCAGATATATTCATGTTTATAAAAATTGTGCTTTAATAATAAGGATATGTATGTATGTTGTTTATAAAACTATATTACAATTAATTATATAAATATATGTAACATTAATATTACAATTCAAATAGTATTTAGCGCCTCTTCATATTTGAAGGCAATGTTGATTCTGTGTTAACTTTCTACCGCTAATTATTTTTTCTTCTACCAACCTTCTCTCTCTGTAAATTGATCTCGATTAAATCATTACGTGTCTGCAATTAAACCTTTCTTTTTACACCTTAAATCTGCTAATTCAAAGACATATGTTGATAACGGCAAAGGGAAAAAATCATTCGCTATTATGTCTTATCATATAAGGAACCGTCAAATTATTCGAAATATTTTTATATAAAGACTAGGCATAGCCCGCGGCTCCGTGTGCGCTTATCTTTTGGCGTATTTCCTGTCCTTTTCTTTATGACGTCGGATATTTTTACTGTCAATTCATTTTTTAATTTTGTAAATTTACTTATGTCAAAATCATAAACTTTTATCTCTTAGATGTCATACACAGACAGATAGACAAAATCAATTACCTAAAGTAATTCGGCCTCTGTCTGTACCGATAATAATTTCGAAAATAATCAAAAACAAATGTACAGATACGGCATGTTAAAAATTATTATAGGTATAGTATGTAAAATTATTATTATCATAGGATATAGGGATAGGATTATTATCATATAAGGAACCGTACGAAATATTTCAATTTTATTTTTATATAAAGAGTAAATATAAGTCTCAATTAGTATTGTTAAATTATGGTAGATACAATTTAACGAATTTACGAGGGATGTCTTAACATGATGTATCACCGATTTTTCTGTAGCAAGAAAATATGGTGTGAAGGTGTTTTAAAGAACCCCATATGTATGACAAAGGGCTGTTGTCTAAAGGGCGCTTGTAGAGTGACGTAGTGTATAGCACAGTTGTATCGCGCTTTTGATGGTAAACTTTTTTCACACTTCCACGTACTGAAGAGACAGCGATATGGATGTTTCGCTGTGATCTTTAATTTCTGACGCACTTTAGAGGGTAAGGTAGCTAACAATGAACACTTACATTCGGTAATTGCTTTTTAAAAAGGTAATGAAAATTAAAGTGAACATTAAAATTAACTATACATAGTTAATTTTATTATTATTGTTATTGCATTTAAGAATGTAAGTATTCATAAATGATAATATTTATGGGGGGCATACATGAATTATTTATGTCATATATACTTATATATATATATATATATATATATATATATATATATATATATATATATATATATTGAAAGTAATTATTTTAACGTTAAAAAAATTTAAATTTTAAACTTTCACTAATAAATCCTAATAAAGATAAAACTTAATTTAAGACTAATTCGAGATAGTAGACATTGTTTGTTTCTTGTATACGTTATTCATATATTTATTTATTAAGTATTCCTTATGTTTTTTTGCAATATCGTAATGTTCATTTGTTGAGGCCCATCATTCATATTTCATACAATGTGACTGCGTTCGGTTGAGATCATCGGCGAGTATGCGCGACACAAAGGCACCGCTGTGTACTGACGAATGTCGCGTTTATTTTACCTACTAATACAAACGGGAATATTCTCTTTTATCCCCTGTCCGTTCCCTGTGTTCTACTGAGCTTTATTTAAAAACGCGAAGATTCTGTTCTCTTATTACACGGAGTCTGTGATAACTCGACTAGAATTGCCAAGCCTTTGTGAGCGCCGCTTCAAGTATGTGCACACACGGAGTATTTGTTTAGTAATTAATGCTTGTATTTAATGACGTCCGTGACTCTTTTGTAGGAAATTCTTCTCTGAATTTTTTATTTGTATGCAAAGCGGCTGGACTTACGCTTAGAACGTTCCGTGTAGGTTCCTCAAGGCCGGATATTACTTTACTATACTAAAATATTGATTATATAAGTTAAAGGTGTACATTTACAAAATAAAAGTTTAATTAAGGTATTTCATGCGATACAAATGGCTTTGTTTTTCTGTATTGACGCAGAGCATCGTCAAGCTTCAATGAACGCGTGGCGTGACAAATCGCTGTGTAAAGTTTTAATTCGAGTCGTATGCTCGATGATGATGGCGCGCACAAAGGGCACAAAAGTAATAAAGGGGTGTCGAGTGTTCATCGCGCGCCGCCCTCGCTTTGCTGCCGCTCACAAACACCGCGCCGGAAAACTACGATACATTATCACCTGAACCATTCATACTGAATTTCTGTAGTTCCGATTTCAAATTAACTATTACGGATTGAGTGATGAGTCCACTCTACATATCGAACGCTACGACGACGCACAATGTCCCGTCGGGCGTTAACGTCTCAGCGGTCAGAGGGCAGAGAGCGCGGCCACTAATCTCAAAGAGACGACTCAAAGTGGAGCGTGCAAATTCGGGACCGAGCGGAACAATAAAAGTGCAGGTGGCCGGACCGTCCGCCCCGTGTCTCCACGCCTCACATCAAAGGGAAGCTCGCGATACTATACAAAAGCCCTAATGAGACAAACCCGTGGCGTAATCGAGGCGACGGAAAAAGATGAGACCCGAGAGGTACGAGGCAAATTTTAATAATTGTCAAAGCGGCGGCGCCGATCAAACGCGGTGCAAACACCCTCCCCCGCACCCCCGCGCCGCCCGCGCGCTTGCCCGCCCCGCGACGTGTGCTCACCGCGGGCCTCATTAGCGCCGCTGATCTAATGCAACTTCGAACTCCGGCGACGTCTAATTAAACTTAAACAGAATTTCAATTTTACGGCTGAAATTTTAATACGCAAAGCCGTCGCCGCGGAGGCCCCGCAAAGGAGACGCGTTCAAAGGCAACGCCGTGTACGTTTTCGCAGATATTAAATGTGTTGACAATTTAATTTTTCATTTCCTCTAGGCGCGGGGCGGCGGGCGGCGAGTTGGGCGCGGGACGGCGCTCCTTTGACGTCGCGATATTGTCTTTGTGCGGCGCGTGGGGTGGGGCGGGCCGCCGCCGACGGAGACTTTGTCGCAATACAATGTGTATCAATAAAACTTAGGATTGGCTTTTAGTGGTTGCACTTACGCTTTGTGAGGCGTCGCGCTCACCCTTTGACATTATATGGGGAGCGTGTGCGGGCGTGTGTGCGGCGAGCGCGAGCGGGCTGCAGCTCGGAGCGAGTTATAATGCAGGCCGAGACGCCGAGACGTACTGGCGCCGTCAGACACACACACGTCATGTTACATACACTTAAAGTTTTTCCGAACTATGTCATCTTTAGAAAAGTATATTAATACATTTATTATTAGGCGTGATAGTTAATCAACTCTTTTTAGAAAGACAAAATTACTATCAATATTATTAAAAATAATTTTTATTCGGAGATAGTCATTAATATTCGTAGTAGGTACATTTAGTATTTTAAAAATATAGGTAGGTATTTATTTGAATTTTTATGCATTTTAGCTTACAAGAGAGACATTGTGATTTGTGACTCCTCAATTCATTGTTCTCTCGCATTCAATATTGACAAACCATATTGGGTTGCGGTGCCTAAACTATGTTTTGTCTTAGAAAAACCTTTTTTTTTTGTAACATTGGGAAATGCTTTTAAGCATACAATCTGTACACATACAGGTGGTTATGTAGAACTCAGAACAGCTAGAAAATCCAGTACCTACTACCCAATAAACCTAAGGGACCCTCCTTCGTCTTAATGGGGCGTTACGGGATCGCTTACACACTCAACCACAACGCCCCGACGGCTGCCTGCCGAACCAGACCACACCAACCAATGGGTTGCTCCCACGGTCCACTCTGCTGTCAGAGAAGTACCATGGGCAACCCGTATGGTACACTGACACCCAGGTTGGCCACCTCCCAGTGCGAATCTTAGCTTCGCGTCCGTCTGGATTGCCGGACGCTAATGATCATAATTTGTAAACTTTTAAATTTTTATATTTTAGTAAATATGCGGATATATATATTTAATTGGTAGAAATTATTTGCTTATATTATCGTGTAAGGGAAGGTACTTAAAATGGATAAGGTGTATAACCTTAGATGTAAGCGAAATTTATTATTATAACGTGATTAAATAAAATTTTTAACATCATTTAAATGGTACCTAAAAAGGGCCAAAAATATTTTTGTAATTTGCTTATTTTTGTGAAAGATATCTATAATCTGTGGAATCTTACTACTACCTCTTGATACAATCTGTGTATCTACAAAGTCTTTTTCAAAAGAAAAATTTCACTATGATATCGTTGAAATTTATGTATAAGCCATTATTTATCGATTTATTAAGTTACGCGTGGTGGCAGTATGGTGGTGTGTGTACAACTATTATGCCATATAGATTTGAAAATAACAGGTAGGTATACCTACATTCTAAATAATATAGTAACATAACACGTTTTATTCCTTACACAATATACCTAACTATAAAACTAAGTGGCGGATAGTGATTCCGGGATAAAGACGAAAGTGACATTTTAACATTTTACGTCTCTCCTGTGATCATGATTGCTGTAAAGCATTCAAAACGTCGGGAACCAAAAATCAAAATAAATCCGTGAAATAATCCGAAAAGATAGTTTTATTTAAAAAGACGAAAGTATTGATATATGAACAAATATTAATTTGACCCATAAACTTCAATTCAATAGGCAATAGAGGCACAGACGCAGATTGTCATGAGCTCTCTACTTTCATCAAAATCATGTATCACTGCAAATTGCAATATATTTGCATTCTGTAAAGCGTGTGTCAATATCTTTATTAATATCGGATAGTATCTATGCAGTCTGCGCCCGAGGCCTGAGGTTGCGGCAGCCGCTGATCACTAGCACTTGTAAATATTGTACGCTTGGATCTATTTCCTTTCAGTTCAATTTTATACAACCAGCTGTATATGAGTTTTTTTTATTTTTGCTTAAATATCATTTTGAATGTATTGAGTTCGTTTAATAACTTCAATTCACGTTTAAACTAATAGATCTACAGATATCAGACGTTAAAAAAATCACTATTATTAAAACTTATCATTTCATATGTATGTATATAAGTAGGTATTTTAATTTTTATTTGTACCTATTTAGATAATTGACAATTTTGTTTCAAAATCAGTAATCACGCAGGGATTATAATATGTATACTATTTTTAGAGTCTCTGTATTTTATATTTGGTTGATATCATATCATACCTATTATATGTTCTCGTCAATAAATTTTTTTAATTATTAAATCATTTATGTACCCCATTTAATTACTAAGCGGTTCATATTTGTTACGTTGTAGTAAGTATTTGTTAACATACTGAACTAATAAAACGCTCGTGTACTGTGATACTTTATATAAAGTGCTTACATTTTAAAAGTCTTTGTTGTGGAATATGGCAGGTAATAAGCTTATTTTCGTGTAGGAGTTGTCTTAGCATCTGCTTATTAGATATGACTCGAGTAAATATTAAATTCAGCTCGTACTTTTAGAATACAGTAACGTCTTTCTTTGGCTTCCATGCAATGTCTTTGATGTGCGGCTTTCAAAGGGATGCGTACAATTTTAAAAACGGTTTAGTACGACCAAAAAAGGCAACCTTTTATCCTTTGACCACAGCTGCGTAATACGTTATCGGGATTGCATTCGCCATTGCAAGCGCCGCCATGCATAGGGTACCTATACCTAGATTTTGGGTTATTATCGACGTTGCTTGTGAGTGACCATAAATGTGTCCACATTTTTTAATAATATTACCTGTTTTAAAAGGACGTTACTACAGAGATTAAGGCGCACAGAGATGTTAGTTGCCGGCGGCCGATCAAAGGAAGCTTTTGCCCAATGGTGATACCGGGCGCCTGATGGCTCCGCCTTCTTTTGAGACCACGTGCGACGCGCGCACGCCGTCGACGGTTTTCTGCCAGTTCCTTCTGTACCTCGATGCGGGGTGGTATCTATGCGCTCTAGAAAATATTTTCGTGCGACGAGATACGTAACTGTATGATTAGTCCGAAACTTTTCGCAAATGTTAAACATAAGTGTGCATCGGTTTAGTGCTCTCGTGTGCAAGTGTTTCAAGTGTTTAATATAGTTAACTGGATTTTGTATTGTATTTGGATTTTGAACGAGTAGAGTTGCAGGTATAAAAATTAAAAAAATAACTTTTAAAAGTTTATAATTTTGAAGAGACTAAAGTTTCTGCTAGGTTTACCTACGGCGTCGGCAGCCCTCGACGGTACGCAGGCATTGTTTTTAAGGACTTCTAGAGTCCTCGTGTCAAATGTTTATTAGAATGACCCCATTGTTGTAGCCCCCTTCGATGTTTTCCATTGTTATGAGTAGTGCTTGTATAATGTTTAGATTTATTGTTTACAACGATACTTTGTTTTATGATAATTTTACATAACAATGTTATTATTTGATTTCAATTACGCTACTAGAATTTTCAAAACTTTAATTGGTTATTGTTTGTTTACACTATAAACAATATTGATTGTGAAGAAAATAATAAATATGTGTTAGCTGCATGTTAATGTTATGCTTTTTAACTTACTCTAGCTGTTTTTATCGATTAATTTCTAAGAAAAGACTTCAACGCGGTCGTTATATCAGTTGAGGCGATATTTTCAAACGATTTTGATAAGGCGATATTGATTGTCAGTAATATTTGTTTTTTCTATGATATTATTTTTAATTGTTTTAATATGTCTTTAGTATTTCATATAAAAGATTTAAAAATATAATATGACTATCCATATGCCCAGGGTAATAGGGTAGTCATATTTTTAGTTTAAGTTTCATGCTTTGACTTAAAAAAAAAATTAACCGGTAAACACTAATTTTTAAAAATCGATTTGGATTTAGGGATACCCAATTCCATAACCTTACTATTATTAGTATATTTAGATGCAGACCACTAACGTAAGTTAGCTTAGCATTCATTCAGTTGCACTTATATGTACATACTCGTATTAATTTGTGAAATTTCTGATCGCATTTACTTTAATAAAACGTATAAATGGTGTTTCGTCAGTAAAATCACAGCAACATAGTTTTAAATTAGCCAACATGCGCTCGGGAGTTTAGTTGAAACCATAAACATTTTCATTTAGTATTGCGAGTTTGTCTAACGTGCAACATCAAAGTGAACCCTTCAAAAATACGTATTTAAATTAAAACATGAAGCAAGGAAGCGAGCAGGAGCGTAGCCAAACCTACATTTCATTAAAAGCCGGCTAAAACTTGAAAAATCATTCGTACAGCACTCCGCTCCGCATAATCCCGACACATTACCGTTTCGCCTTTGAATTAAGCGAACTCGGCGCTTTAAAGCTTGAATAAAATATGTCATTAGCTACATTATCGTATTACCTCTGTCCGTCTGCATAGAAAAACTTGTCATGAAAACGTAATGCTAAAAGCGGCTGAAAGGGTGCGCAGGCGTCTTTGACTTCAAGGAAAGGATCGTCCTGCTAATTTCCAAATTCGGTTTGCGCAGATAAGGCTAGAGACGGGAGGAAGGTGTCTTTGATGTAGCCGCCCGGCCCTCTGACTTCGGGGATGAGAGCTTTCAATGAAAGGATTTTTTTCATCTCCTTTCCCTTTGTACTTAATTTAAATTTCGTTTATATCAATGCTGCGAGTTTCCTTTTCGGGTGTGTTTTCTCTTTTACTTTGTCGCGTTTATCCTCTCCAATTTGTTATGTTCGAGTTGGCTCTGTAATTAAATTTAGTGTTCGTAATCTGTTTCTAATTTTTTTTCCCTCACTTGGCCGACTGCCGGTGTAATTGCAATTGTATGAATTAGGTGTGCCTTTGATTTCACTTCGCAATGATCCCTACTTTAATATGAGTTGATTGTTTTTTCCTTTTTGCTCCACTTGCTTTGAAGATGTTCCTAGAAAGTGTTTTTATCCGTATTAAATACTTTATTGTGATACTTCAAAGACTTGCTTATTTATTTAAACAATAGCTTTTATTGAAATAAAGCTCGAAATTTTTATTGTTTTAAATTATTTTATAACTTTTATAGACTTATCAAAATATTAATATTCAAGGTTTTCTAAATGTTTAAAATAAGAATAAACATTTTCTAAACTTGTAAATTTTATTAATAAATATATTATTCTATTATAATAAGTATATTATTATAAAGCTCCTACATTGAATCTTATATTTTCCCAAAAGATAGTTATTGAGAATGTCCACCTTTGTGTAATGAGGGAATTTAGTATGCAAGTGTGCTCGTTAGTTTTTCATCAGGTGCCGAGCTGTGTCCTTTGTCCAGGTTCCGACGCGCTAAGAGACCGGGACAAAGTTACCTCTAACTAAAACACACGACCCATACGAATTTCCACGACAAAGACATCACTCAAGTCTTTTTAGAATTAAACATCAAAGTGTACCCAAGGGTGTTTGATCTCCAACATCATCGATACAGGCGAACTCACTAACACGTAATATCGTGCCTTCTGATGTTAATTGTACATGTACTGAGTGACTTCAAAGCGACGCTTCTATTATTTCAATAAAATTTAATCGCTCTATAGTTAATTTGAAATTAAATATAACAAACTTAATTAAAGCTACGCCGGTTTGTTTGTTTGATTTAAAGTGGAAAATTTCTTAGGTATATTTGACAATATCGATTGATGTTTATTAGGTAGGTATACGAAAATATAGACGTGACGTATTGTGAAGGCGTCGAAAGACAAAGAGTTTGTCGCGCGGGCGAATAGAAACACACGGCGCTTCCCGCGGCGGCGGTGGCGGCGTCGTTCACAAAGGCGCCAATTTGTGGAGAGTCGTCTTTGACTTTGAGTCTCGAGAGTGTGTGACCCAACATTAATAACCTACTAATAGCTTTTGTTCTCAACTCTTTTACATGCAGAATTAACGTCCATTTTGCTTTATTTGCTCGAACGTGCTTAAATATTAAACTAATAAATTATTATTCTTGGACCTGTCGAAGAGTCTCGTCAAAGGAAATTACTCTAATATGGCATAGGTCTATTAACGATATTCTCTGATAAATATTAAATAAGCGAAACATTCGATTTTTTCGCATAATTATATTAGTGACAGTTTAATTAGCACAGCTTTCATCGGAGCCGCTTTGAGTTTGAACGTTTCAAATAGATTTCACAAGAAGCACTTTCAAAGAGAGCACCCCTAATAAGTACTGAAGAGTCCTCGCACGTGTTTATCAAAGACAGCCTTTCGTTATTCACCGTCTGAATGGCCTCAAAAGAAACTCGTGTAAAATGCTCCACAAAGTGCTGTATCAAAGGGAAAGGCGGGCGCAAATATCTGTTTCGTAAACTAGTAAAAACGAAGCTCTCAAAGGTACTGCGTACTCGCGGCAAATTAGGCGGAGTTAAATACGAGCGCCAGCTTCACAAATGTATAACTTTGAAAGTCGCTCGCTTATTATTTATGTAAGTCGTAATCGTCAAAGCTCCCCCGAGATTTATTTTTGACAATATCACCCGTTCGGTCCGAGAGAGGCCGGGCTCGGAGCGCTCGCGTGCGCTTCGCATGTGTATCCATTTAATGCTCAATTCCCATATAATTTAACTTTGCGATCAAAGAGAAATTTTGCAAAGAGCTACCCGGCAACGGCGGGCCGGGCGGCGGGTGCGAGCGAGACGTCACCATTGGAGTTGCCGAGATCAAATGCTGGGCCAAATTAGTCACTCTCCGTCTCTCTATCTCAAAGCCGATCCGTAGTAAAGTTTGCGCGAAGATGACATCAAAAGGAAACCACACACCGGGGGGCGCCGCCCGACGCCCCCGGCCCCGTACTTAAATCCGCCGTGTCTCGAGCTGTCTTATTGACACGCTACTGACAACTTGCAAGTCGCCAACGTCGTCTGTTTCAGAAGCTCGCTCGCTTTGGCAGACTTATTTAGTTAATTAATACGAAATGTCCTATCAACTCTCAACTCCCGCAAGGCTGATATACACTTACACGGCTCAACTGTAAGGAAACTAATCGGGCGGCCCCGTCCCACTAACTAATGTCTTTAATTACCTACTGGGATTGATGGAATTGGTTTTCAAATGAAGAATATTTGTACTCTAGTTTAACTTTGTTTTGCCTTTAACTCAGTATCAAATCTCAATCTAATTGGCAATTCAGATCATGCATCGAGCTTACAGTAATAATGGTTGTAGCACTTAATTAATTCTCGTGTATATAATTTCGACGACGGTCTTTCGTAAACAAATTGAGACTCGCAAACCAGACCGTTTCATCCTAAAACATAATTGGAGTTGTGAATAAAATTGCGAAAGCTTCACTTAGGTTTGTCGAAGTTTGGAAACCTTAAAACAAACTCATTTTGAAATTTCTTGAAACAAAGCTGGTCTCCTAATTGTTTTCTTTTTTTAGCACAGTGTATATAATAAAAAGAAAGAAAAAGTAAAAGCATGAAATTTTTATTAAAAGTTTTAATATAAATCATATTCGCTAGTATAATATTAATAAATCATTTTAACAAAGTAATGTAAGTACTAGAGAGCACCTACAAGACAAAGATTGATCCGATCATATTATCTTCTAAGGGCCACTTAGTTATTATTCTTTTGTATATATTTTTGTGTTTTTCTTATATTGCTATTATTTTGTAGGCAATCAATACTAATACTCCTGATTATTGTGTAATTAATATTAATAATTATTTATATATTTTCATATAATTTCTTCTTTTCTTACAAAAGTTGGATTTATACGTCTACTACTACAATGTAGACAAAATCACTATGTCTGTAAAAAGGAATCTGTTAAGTATTTTTTATAAATTAACTCAAAGGAACTTCCCTTTTGAAACCCTTTTTATCTTTTCCCATGTCCATTTCGCTTATTTGCAAGAGTTACTCGTTGCTTTCAAGATTCATTCTCGGCTTTGTTTCTTTTCTAACACAGATGCTATTTAATGGAAGGGAAAAATTATCAATATTTATTTTTATTAATGACTTTTTTCTTTACTAAAATATGTAAGTATACCTATGTTTAATTAACAAACAAAATAAACTGGAAGTATAAGCTTGTAACTTGAATTTAACTTATATTTTTAGTTATTATTTTTTGAAATCTTATGGATGAAAGTATGCTTAACAGACTTTAAGATATTTAGTGTAGATAATATCTACACTAATATTATAAAGAGGCAGAGTTTGTTTGTTTGAACGCGCTAATCTCAGGAATTACTAATCCGATTTGAAAAAAATCTTTTTACATTAGATAACCCGTTTATTGAGGAAGGATATAGGCTATATATCATGGTACTACCCAAGGGAGCGGAGCAATACTTAATCATAAATGTCTAAGAATCGGGCATACTTCCGTACATTATTGTAAAACTGATAATTGGTTTAAGTGCTTTAAGTTCAAAAACTACTGAGCCCATTTCAAAAATGCCTTTTGCATAAAGCCAAAGACTTTTATTTTATACTAGCGGCTCACCCTCGCTTCGCTCGGGTTCGCCTCTACAAAAACACAAACAGCAAAAAATCCCACGAAAACCGTTCATTTTTCTAGGGTGAAAAGTGACCTGTTGTTTGACCGGCAATATTGGTTATCAGCATACCAAATTTTACTAAATTAGGTGCATAAGTTGTTGTGTACTAAGCTATATAAGTTACTATAATTTTTTAACTATCCCACGGGAACTCTTTTATTTTCCGGAATGAAAATTATCTTAGATATTGACCGGGGATATAAGGTACCACCATACAAAATTTCATTTAAATCGGTCCAATAGTTTCGGAGATTAGCCCGTACAAGCAGACAGAGAAACAAAAAAATTGAAAAAAATCAGGATTTGTTTTATTTGTCTCATTACATCCCCCTGATTCGGTTTTCAGCAATTTTTATCTATGTATAGACATTCGACCTCTACAGTTTTATTATAGTATAGTTTTTAGCGCGAGCGAAGCCGCGGATTTCTGCTAGTTGTTTATATTAATATTGTACCCACTTCCAATTCATATCAATCCATACTAATACCTATTATAATTAATGTGAAAGTTTGTGAGGATGGATTGATGTTTGTTACTATTATACGCCAGAACGGCTGAACGAATCTGGATGAAATTTGGCACAGCGATAGATTATTATAGTCTGGAATAACACAGTACTTTTTATCCCGGAAAAATGTACGGTTTCCGTTTGATAGATTAGTTTTGTTTTTCACAAGGACGATCCCGAAGCGAAGCTAGGTTGAGACACTAATATTATAAATGTGAAAGTGTGTGATGATGGATGGATGGGTGAATGTATGTTTGTTTGTTACTCAATCACGCCAGAACGGCTGAATGGATCTGGATGAAATTTGGCACAGAGATAGATTATAGTCTGGAATAACACAGCACATAGCCTACTTGTTTACACTACTCACGTTTTAAGTTTCATATCCATTATTAATTGTTATCGTTAACTTTTCATCTGAAATTCTTAAATTAAAAAATATATATAAGGTGACGTGGTTTCTATCTGTGAACATTGAATATAAAAAATATCATTTTTAAAGGAGCAAAAAAAATATGAAAACATTTCATATCTGTTGGGGTCCGGCGAGGCGAAGCATTGTGCGCAGGAGTTTACGACGCGCTTCCAGGAACGGCAGGCACCTACCTACGGCGCCCTTTTGTGACGTCACTACCTCCCCTAATTGAACTAAGCTGTTCGAATGTTTAGTCTTCGTTATTTGATCTATTTAGCTCATGTTTGAAGACTATGATGGTTTTTGTTTCTGTTATGGATTAAAAATGATCTCGGGTTGGTTTATAAGCCGGAAAGAACTTTTAGAAGTCGGCTTTTAAATTTATTAAGTTAAATTTTTAAAATTATTATTTAATTCTTGTTGTGCTGAATGTATCGGTTAGGTCTTCATTTGCGTTGAAAAAGTGATACGAGTAAATCCAATACTAGTTTTTGCCCGCGTCCTCCCCTGCGTGTTTGGTAAATCGATAAAAAATAGCCTGTGTATATACATTCTAAATTTTATTAATAATAATCTATTTAAGCACTTCCATCGTGAAAAAGTAACAAACACACAAGCCCACTCACAAACATAACCATGTATTATGTACTAGCAGTACCCGCGGCTTCACCCGCGTTCAAACTTCCGATATAAACATGATAAAGTATAAAAGTCTGCCCGATTTGTGAGCATATATAACCTTTTTCAATAAACGGGATATCTAATGGAAAAAGATTTTTTCAAATCGGTTAAGTAGTTCCTGAGATTAGCGCGTTCAAACAAACAAATAAGCAAACAAACCAACTCAGTCGCGTTATAATATAAGTATTGATTAACAGTAAAGTGACATATTTAACATGTTTTATTTTTGCAATATTCAACAAGGTTTTAAAAGTAAATGCTAAACAATAGTCGGGTATAATATGGCGATTACTAAACCCATTTAAGATATTTATATCAAACTAGCATTGCCCACGGCTCCGCCCGCGTTCAGATGACAAAAAACCAAATTCTTAGGTTTTACTTACATATTAGTATACTCTTATGTTGCAGTTTTTATATTTTTTCTAAGAAATGAGATGTTTTCCTGCGGTAAAAAGTATCCTATATGTTGACCCGGATAACCAGCTATCACCATACCAAATTTCATCAAAATCCTTCCAGTGGTCTTTCCGTGATGCGGTAACAGACAGACAGACAGACAAAAAATCTAAAAATTATTGATTCGGCCTCTGAATCGAAGATAATGTCTATTTTAATAAGATTTTCCAAAAAATATTTAATGTACAGATTCGGTTTAGTATATGGGAACATAGCAGCCAATACGTTTTAGTTTGTTCCGTGTTAGTGAATAGTGATT